TCCTCCTCCTCCTCTTCATCCTCCCACTGCCTCCCTGCCAGCCGGAGTCCCAGCGCAGCATGCCCAGTGGCGACCCCGACCTGCGAATGGTCTCACCCTCCATGTTCCCCTCCTCCTTCGCGCCTTCCATTTCTTATGGCAACAGCACGGTGTCTAGCAAAAAAGATAAGTGTGAGGAAGTGCCGGTGTGCAGACCCGGCATCCTGCTGCCCGTCTGGGAGCCCAACCAGCCCAGGCTTGGCGAACAGGTGGCCAGAGCTGTGGTCTACTTTGTGTCACTCATGTACATGTTCCTGGGAGTTTCCATCATCGCTGACCGCTTCATGGCTTCCATAGAGGTCATCACGTCACAGGTGAGAATGAGTGAATGGAGGAATACAGGAATTGTGAATATAGTCATTACCATTCTTCAAGGGAAAAATATAAAAAAAATATATAAATCCACAAATTCAATTATTTGTTCCACGTTTTAGTTCAGCACCACACTATAAGTTTACACTAAACAAGTTCACAGTTCAGCTCATTTCTTTGCTTGTGGCCTTACCCTTTGTTAATGATTTCATGTGATCATCATTCACTTAATGTCCAGTGGAAACAGAAATCAGATTGCTATTTGCGTCTGCATATTTAGGTATTTCCTGTAGAAACAGGCAGGTAGGGAAGGACTTGTCGCGGTAGCCTGTAGCTCTGTGGTTACGTCTCCCCAGTCCAGCAGCTGTAGCGCACTCATTAGCTGACTCTCTCGGACTGGGAGCTCCCAGTGACCAGCACATCCAGACTGGGACTGAATGCAGCATCCGATGTTGACGACAGGGAATAAAGTACAGAGGTGTTTTTAGCCTAACTAGCTAACAACACCTCAGCAACAAGTCCATCTGGATACTACGTAAATCACCTCGGTACCGCTGCTGCTGGGAGGCTGCTGAGCCGCGTTCAGTTGCGCGCTAATATATTCTCTGTAAAATATGATCCAGTTTCACCCAAATCACTAATAAAGTTGTGCACGTTAATTCGATGCAAATTGCCTATACCAGCCTACATGAGTCTCGTGTTTAAGCCTACCTCACGTGTTAATGTCTTTCTTCATTATCTGTGATGTGATCTCCACACAGTCAGAGAGTAAAAGTCTGCATCCTCTGCTCATAGTTCAGTTATAAAATCCCAGCGTGCCACAAAGTGTCTCTCCTGCCGAGCTGCTGATAGCTCTGTCACAGTGGACAGTCACAGTGGAAAGTAAGAAAGGAGGTTGTACCACTGTCTGGTTCAAAGGGGGTTTATCCGACTTCACTGACAGTCAGCACCAGAGCAGAGAGCACCAGAGCAGCCACTGCCCCCGCTGCCCTCAATGAACTACCACTCTTCTGCGCTACCTCCACAGTTAGTTTTGTGGTTTGTGGTCATTTTAAGACTCGGTTGTAAAGTTTACAGCCTGCCATGCTTCCGCTCCTGCATCGCTGTGTGTTCAGTGATTAAACAACAAAAGTGCAGAGATTCAACAGACAAAACCAGAGTCCACTTGGGGTCTTCTCCACTGATGACTCAAATCATGGACTTTTGGGAGGCAGGCCTAGTTTTTTAGTCTCTATTGTGCATAAATCATTCATTAGTACTTGTTATATTCAAGGTTAATGAGCAATGTGTCCTTTGTGCAAGATTGCCACAGAGGAAGTGAAGCTGCCAGTGTTACATAATCATGTCATTGTCTTTGTACTGCAAGCCAGGCCTGGTCAGTTTCCTTAATGGGGATTACATGGATCTCTATCCATGTATCCTTTATAATGGTGAAAATGACCCTCAGCTGTTTTCAGAGACAGAGACAGAACTGTGTGTTTACCCAAGAGGGTAATAGTCAAGTGTGTCTATTTGGACTGAACACAGAGGGAAATACTGAGGTGTAGTCCATCACTATTAGTATATAGTACAGTTGGTGAAAGTTGGTGCAGTGTGTGTGTGTGTGTGTGTGTGTGTGTGTGTGTGTGTAGTCCCAGGCGGCCCGTAATGGTTCAGATGTTGAGGTTATGAAGTCATAAGCGCTGTAGAAAAAGAGAGGAACGGTCCCAGGAGGTTTGAATGCAGGCTCAGTATGAGAGAGTGGGACGAGGAGATGTGAAGGTCAGCTGGAGGGAGAAAAAATTACAGGAAGGAGAGAGTACGATGAAAAATAGACTCACTAAACTCACTAAATACACAAATCAGGAACATTTTCCTTGTGGTCGGCTGAAAACTTCTTTTGTCTGATGTTCTGCTCACAAGAACATTATTGTTCCTTTATGAAGTAAAACTGCAGCTTTCATCAAATGTAATGATTCAACTGCAAATGTACAGCAGGAAAAGAGAGGAGATCGCTATATTTCATGGTTCCTGGTACCCAAAGCTCAGAGGTGGGTGGTAACAAAGTACAAATAAATTACAGTTTTTTCAGGTATCTGTACTTTACTTGAGCATTTATTTTTCTGACAAATTTCTACTTTTACCGCCTACATTTTTACACAAATATTTACTCCTTACATTTTCAAAACAGACTTGCGTTTGAAGGGAATTATTGTTTATTATTATTTTTCAAATCAAATCAAATCAAGTTTATTTATATAGCACATTTACAACAGCCACAGACCAAAGTGCTGAACAACAGCACATCTGTAAAAAACACAACACCAATAAAAGATAATAAAGGCCATAACAAATATGTACACAAATGTAAAAACAGAGACAGAACAAGACATGTTACCATGTAAAATGAAAGATTAAAAAAAAACTTCATTGCATGCCTTCCCAACATTTTGAATCAGTACTGTATCTATACTTCTACTTAAGTCAAGAATGTGTGTACTTTTGCCACTTCTGCTAAAGCTAGATAAGTTCATGAAGCTGCTCTGCTATTTTACAAGCACACTCTTTCAGTTTGTACTGTGACTGACGAGTATATGGATGTAGTTTTTTTTGTTTAATCTCTTTTAAGATATATGAAATGCCTAACTAACCTGAGCTTGAACTTGTGAATGGCTCTTTAGAGGGTGAAATGGTTTTAGTATGCTGAAAGACGAAACTGCTCCACATGAGACCCAATGAAGCATCACTGGATCCGATGTAGTGCTTGTTGTCTGAGACGGGACTGATCGGTAGTTTAAACAAGACATCTGTCAGGAAAAAACAAAGGCAAATAAATAAATGCAGCTCATTCTTTAACCTTTTAACCTTAATTTAACAAGTAAACAGGAACAGATTAATATTTAACCTAAGTAAGTAAGTGTAGGTTCTAATGGATTTATTTATGAAGCACAGCACCACTGAAGTGACTCATTTAGATATTACAGTATGTTAAGACATGAAATAAGATTAAACTTCACCTGCTATCATCCTGCTTTTGATAATAGCTCTAAACAAAGCGAGTTAATGTAAAATAGCTGAACATCCAGAGTGGTGCATTAGGGAAAGTGAAGATGATTCTCCCCACGGTTTCATTACTTTTTGACGTAATGAAATTTCATCATCTGATTACAAACCGTTCTGAATTGTCATCCAGTGTGAGGTTGCTATAGGAAAATCAATGATATTACTTACTATGTCTAATGAGATTCTTCAGAAACTGATTGTCTATGTAGCAGTTTGTATATGATGATATTATTCAGTTAGTGAACTCACAGCTGCCTGTTTCAGTAGACGTGATACAGAACAACCGCAGGTGAAAAGACATACAGGAATCATACCAGTTTGTCAGAAACAATCATTTACACCCAAAACGCTAATTAGCTTTACCCTCTCAAGTTAAATGTTTTGTTTTAGTGTAGTCTCTCTTCACTCAGTCCATAAATATCTGCATCGCCTCTGATTTCCCTTCAGCAGATAGAGAGAAGGAAAGCAGAGGTGACACAGATATAGAGCAGAAGGCAAAGGAAGGTTGAATAAAGAGAAATCAAAGGGTTAATGGAGGAAGGGGAGCGTTCATATATCCTTTTCAAGATCAATGTAAATGAGTGTCCTATTGTGTATCCCACAATCCATCACTGTGGCAGCCACAACACCTCTTTTTGCAGAGGGTTGGTTTGTCCCCTGAAGTTATTGAAGTCGGGTCTGTGTATCATCGTTTTATGTTTATGTTGCAGATTTCTGTTTCTTCTTCACCGTGCGCTGAAAGTGGCCGCTGCACACACGTTACACGACCTTGCAGAGCTGATTTCTGAGGAGATTTGGTGTTTATGACAAATATTTATCATTATTATCCAGTTCACCAACGTTGATGGCCTGTAGCCTGTGTAATATAAAGGTTTATTAGACCAGAAATATGCTGAGGTATAACCAACAGAAACTGGTTTTGTCTTTGCATGTGTGATTTTAAAGTCGTGACATTTAGTTTTTCATATACTGACTCGCAGTAAGTAACTTCCTTCGTTGAATAATCCCCATGACAACTGCTACCTTTGTGTAATTTACATCACAATAGTGTGGAGCTGTATGTATTCATGATGCTGATGATCTTTTATCTATTCCTGTTGTTTGCTACAAGCTACAAGGAAAGACCTCGACAGAACAGTGATTTCATTATTATGTTATATAAGCCCAAGAGTTTATGTTTATGTATGCAATGGTAATAATAATTATTATATATTTGTTTTATATAGCGATTGGAAATAAATAAAGGAAAAATAATAGGGTGATTGAGCACAGATTAAAAGCAGATTTAAATAGATGGGATCTGAGTGCTGTTTTGACTGATGGGAGTGAGGGAAAATATCGGAAGTGTTGGCCCTCCCAGGTCTTGGGCTTGGACCGGGTGAGAGGGATGAGGAGGATGGCGTCTGAGGCTGCTGGTGGGAGTACGTTGGTGAGGTAGGAGGGGTTGCAGAGGGCTTTGTACACGATGAGGAGAATTATGAACTGGATTCTTTGCTGAATGTGGAGCCAGTGGAGGTTTTGAAGCACTGGGGTGATGTGATCTCTGGGTGAGTGAACGAACAGCTGAGTTTTGGATGTACTGTAGTTTGTTCAGGATTTTGGTGGATGTGCTGCAGCAGTCGAGTCGTGAGGTGATGAAGGTGTGGAGGGGGGTTCAGCAGCTGAGAAAGAAAACAATTAATAAGAATGTAAATACAGTGAACATAAATATTACTTAAATAGTGATCAGTATCAGTATGAGTATTACAACTACACCTACAAGCATTATATTTACCTGTTTGTGGGGTACATTAACTGATATTTACTGATATAATTATACTTTATTTGACAAATGCTTTAATCGTTTTCAAATCCTCACATCTTTTAATTGTATTTTAAAGGCCCTGCACATCTATGTCATAACTACTCAAGTCAATGAGCTTATTCTGGATGATTAGACCGCTATTCAGGTCTGTGTGGATGTACATAGACTGTTTGATCCTCCTCACTCTGGCTTTGTTGCACCTGTTAGATTGGGACAAATTACCCCTTTATCATTGTAACTTCATCAGTGAATCTGGTGGCGTGACGTACATCCCTACATAGTCTGTCCCTCCTTCAGCCTGAGCAGAGGCCTAATCAGCCAAAATAATTGGAAACACCTGTGGGGGTGTGTGCATGGAATTTAAAGCTTGCTTATGGAGTTTGTCAACACAGTGTGTGTGTGTGTGTGGTGGTGGTCGTGTGTGTGTGTGGTCGTGTGTGTGTCGTGTGTGTGTGTGTGTGTGTGTGTGTGTGGTGTGGGTGTGTGTGTGTGTGTGTTTTTGGCCATCAGGACGAAGGAAGTGACCATCCACTATGCTAACGGGGAACATCAGTGCGACGGTTAGGTAATTCTGGAACGAAACAGTTCCAACTCTGACACTCATGGCTCTCGGCTCCAGCGCTCCGGAAATACTACTGGTCCTGTTATAGAGGTACACACACACACACCAACACACACACAGCAACACACACCTCCACCGTGTCTTCTATCACAGTGGTGATGTGCGCGATCTTTGGGGGGAATTCAATTGGAAGTGCGCTAGCCTTCACAATAAAAACCTTAGAGGTTCTTTACTACTGTATGGCCATGAGTGTGTAAGGCTTTTTTTCTCATTTATTCTACTTCTCTTACTCTTTATCTTCGTTTCAAGAGTTGCGCGTAAAAAATATACACTCTCATTTTTTTCCTTGCATTCCTACGTATTCTCTGTCCTGACTCTTTTTCGCTCCCTCCTCACACTCTAAAGATTGTTGTAGGCGGCGAGGATCTTGGAATATAACAGAAGAACAACATTGATTTACGAAGATGGAAAGAGAAGGGTGAGGAAAGAAAGACGGAGTTATGAACGAGATAAAGTGCTGGGAGCAGCGCTCAATGCAATCCATCATCACTCTCTGTGATAGAAGACAAGGGTGGAGTGTGGGTGTGGTGTGTGTTGTGTTGTGTTGTGTGTTGGTGTACCTTATAACACGTATGTTCAGAGTATTTCCGGCATCGCTGAGAGCAGCAGTAAATAGAGTGTCGAGAGGAGTAGTGAAGCACACCTAGTTTCATCCAGTTCCAGATTCATATACAACCGTCGGCCCATTGACTGTTATTTATCAACCGGCCGTTAGGCATAGTGATGCGTCCAAGCGTCCTTCTTCCTCGGGGATGCCGGCCAAAATCATCATCTCTCTACTGAACACAGCGGTAGCAACACACACACAACCTGGAACTATCACAACATACAGCTTATCTCACAAAGCACTATTTCATCGGACAGACAGCACAACAATGGGCAGCACACCCATCACAACAAACTTGGAAACAAAACACACACTTACTGTGTTTTGGATTCACAAAAGAACCAGGGGAAGCAAAGCTGGCACATCATTCTTATGCACACTTACCCGACACAGGTTGTTATTCCTAATTTTATTGGTTGTGGTAAAAGGCACTCTGCTACCAGGCCCTGAACAAATGGAGGCGCGCCTTGAGCACTTTGTTTATGCCTGATATAAGTGGTAAGCGATACCGTCCTTAGGGAAACACCAAACCAGATAATCTAAACGGCGCCATGAAAGATATTGTACATGCTCAACAATAAGAGACTCAAAAGGAAGGTAATTGGTTCGCTATCCCAATTCTAACAGGTGCAACAAAGCAGAGTCGCAGGCCGGACTAAACGTCTGCCTCTCACGCTCGCCCCAAATAGCGGTCTAATCATCCAGACGCACTTCTCTCTCGCGCGCTCTCGCTCTCTCTCTCTCTCCTCGATTCTACGATGTGCCAGGGCCTTATAAAAATACTTTTGAGGGTATATAATTACAAAGATAGTGTTGTAGCGAGCCTTATTGAAAACATTAGAATTAGTATATGCGAGTGTGTGTGCAAGAAAAAATAAAAAAAAAAAAAGGTATACACACATTCAAATATTCCATATCGCATGCTAATCATCAAAAATACAGTTAATGGTACCCGAAGGGCCGAGATACAGGCGCTTGATGCATCTTTATCTTTTGATAAATGGGTTGCGCTATAGTAAAGTGTAGTTGCTGATGAGGAATATTAAGCTCTCGCTATTCAATGAAGAGAATACTGTGGCTCAACGCTATTTAAAAATGAAATAAGCATGTTTTTCAGGAGCCAAGTGGGTATGGAAGGAACTGTTCCATTACTTTGGATATTCTATTCTATATTATTAATTTGTTTTTCTGAGCTGTAATGGCCCAACCACTCCACAACACTCCTTCAACCAACTCCTCCACTCGACTCGACTGCGTCTATGGCCACATCGGCAATATGCACAACATGCACCTTGAACACAATTTCGGAAGAGAGACACTACAATTTACCTTCGGCAAAAAACTCAGCTGTTAGTGTGCACAATACACCACAAGATCAGCATCAGCACTTTCCACCCCAGTGCTTCTAAACTATATCTCTTCCAAGCTTGGTCTCCCTACATTCAGCACTATACAGAGAATCCAGCCAAATCTAAATTGTGGAGGCGACGAACTCAGTCCCGCAGTTATCAAAAGCCCTCTGAAACCCACTTCCTACTCACCAACGT